GGCCTGGAACAGAGGATGGGAGGCGGCCAAGGACCATGTGCCTCCCGCCCCCAGGCTTGGAGGCTCTGGGGAGATCCCCTCACTCTGCATATACCCCTGACGCTGGCAGGACCCACAGCGGGGCCAGGCCCCAGGCCAGCAGGGGGTGTGGACCCAGGCTGGTCTTTCAGTTGGGCTGGGGCTGGCCCTCGCCCAGGAACCCCAAGATTTACATCTCCCCCTCAGAATCTCGTCCACAGGGTCTCAGGCCCCGAGGGTTTGTGGGGTCCCTGCCCTGGAGCCCCACTTATCTGGAATCCAGTCTTTCCTGAGGGATCGTCAGGCGGCCCCTCTCCTCCCTGGGTGGGCTCCAGGCCCATCGATGGGACGTGCCCAGCCCAGGACGGAGCCCTCGTGTCCAGGGCAAAGCGGCCTCCACCGGCGGGGCCACCTGCACCAGCCTGCGGTCCTGGGGCGCCCCCTGGTGGCCAATGGGCCAGACCTGAGAGGCCACGGGGGCCCCAGAGCACAGGGCCTGGACAGGGTCTCCCCGCCATTCCAGACCTCAGGGGATGAGGGGTCCCTGGGAGGGGGTCCTGGGGTCTCTGGGGAAGGGGCACACAGAAGTGTCGTCTGTTCTCATGTGTTACCCGCAAGCTCCCTGAAGCCGGGCTACTCAGATCCCCATTTTCTCAGAGAAGCTGAGGCCCAGGGTTAAGGAGCCCGGAGGATTGGCAGAGTGTGAGCCAGGACTGTGGGGCTCCAGGGCCACCCCGTGCTGCCCTTGCTCGAAGGGACAGTGTGCGGAGCCTGCCGTGCTGACCACCCGACAGCTGGCCCAGCTGTGCCACCCTCCGGTACAGCGCACACGGGGCACCCACGCCTCTCTGCTTTGTGGGCCCAGTCTCTGCCCATGCGTCCTCCACGGGACGGCTGGCCACACCCCCTGGAGGCGGCCATTCCCACCTGCTGCAGAGATCAACTGGGGGCCTTTGGGAGGCGGAGACACGGGTGTGGCACAGCCGTCCCCTCCCATCCCCAGGCCGCGGAGGGAGGGAGGGGCAGCAGCCAGCCCCACACAGGGCCACCTCTTGGCACCGGGAGACTGGTCACGCCCAAGGGGGTCACGGGACCCGGCAGGCCTGGGGAAGGCTGGCCCTCGCGCCCCGTGGCTTTGGCCGCAGCAGGCCTGTGGGCCAGGTGGGGCGGAGATCGGGGGCGCCCGGCGCTGGTCACGGCATTGGCTGCCCAGGTGCCGGGCGTGGTGGCAGGGGGGAGGAAGGGCGGGCGCCAGGCTGTGGGCACCCCCACCCGCTCCTTGACCAGCAGCCGCGTGTCCGGGCCCAGGGAGAAAGCAAGCAGGTAGGCGCCCTGGCCGCCAGCCCCCAGCAGGGAGCGGGAGTGGGGGCACCCTCCTCCCTGGCCACAGGCTGCCTCTCGTCTCCATCTCCTTCTCTGGAGCCTGGGGAGAGCCCGGCCTTCCAGATGGTCCCTCTGCAGGCGAGGGGGGCTCGGGGTGGGTCTGGGCAGGGGGGTGGCCCCGCGGCCCTGGGGGCCAGACTCAGGGAGCCAGGGCTCAGAGCCGGTGCCTGTCCCGCTGGGGGGCTCACAAGCGCGTGGGCAGCTGTGCCCCCTCTCTGCCCCCTCACCGAGCCGTGACGTCCACTCCTGGCCCGGGAGACCCGTGTCCTCACTGGGGGCCGGGGGCTGCCGTGCTGACCACCGGCCTGCTGAGTGTGGGACCCCTGTGTGCCCTCTCCTCCCATCTCAGGGAGGAGCAGAGGGGCTGAGCAGGTGAGGGGCTTGCCCAGTGACACAGCCGGGAAGGGCCGGGTGGACTGGGACCCCCGAGGCCTGGCCACCCGGCTCTGCCTGCGCTGGGGCCGTTTCCCTGGTGGCCTCTGACCAGGGGCGGCCGTCTGCCCCCCCGAGCGAGAGCCCCCAGTGCCCTTGCTGCTGGGGCTGAAGATCCTGCCTCTGTTCTCCCTGTCGGCCGTGTGGGGGGGAGGGGATTCCAGCGGGGGGTGACGCAGGCCCCCCAGCTGCCCAGACCCACACTCCCCCCCACCCCTTCTGGGACCAGGGCCGTCAAAGACCCAGATGGCTGTTCATACAAATGCGCCCTTTGCATGTCCTTCCCGCTTGGTGGCCCCATTTGCCTGGCGTCTGGCCCAGTGCCCCCTCCAGCTCTCAGCACAGGACCCCAATGCCCCCTTGGCCCCCCGTGGCTGGGAAGCCAGGGGTCGGGCCCAGGCCTTCAGGGTGTGGGGTGAGGGGTGCAGGCCGTGGCCCCGGGGACGGTGAAGACCCCTGCCTTGTCAGTGAGGAAAGGGTGATGTGGGCTAGGGTCGGGGAGCCCCACAGCACCCACCCCCCCGCCGCCCCCTCCAGGTCCCCCTCCCTGGCGGAGCAAACCCGAGGTTCTCGGCCTATGAGCACAGCAGTGCTGCCCAGTCCCCACACACAGCCCGGGCCGGGGGTGCGTCCAGCAGCGGGAGGGGTGCGTCCAGCAGCGGGAGGGGTGCCAGGCCCCGGGCCCCTGCTCAGCGCCCCCCTCCCCGCATGATGCGAACACATCCCATGTCGCTGCCCGTGCTTTGGGGTTGAAGAGTGTCCCCCCAGATTCATATCCACCCAGAACCTCAGAACGTGACCTTATTTGGAAAGAGGGTCTTTGCCGAAGCAGTTAGTTACGATGAGGTCATAGCGGAGTAGGGAGGCCCTCATGCAATGACCGGTGTCTTTATAAGGAGAGGGAGGCTTGGACAGGGACTTGGAGACGGAGGCAGAGGCTGGAGGGCTGCGGCCACAAGCCCAGGGACGCCTGGAGCCCCCAGAGCTGCCAGAGGCAGGAAAGACCCTCCCCTCGAGCCTCCGGAGGGAGCCCAGCCCTGCGACACCTTGTTTTGGGATTTCTGGCCTCCAGAACCATGAGAGAATCAACGCCTGTTGTTTTAAGATGCCCGGTTGGTGGTCGCTCGTTACAGCCGCCCTGGGACACCCCTGCGGTTATAACCCAGAGGGCGGCAGTGCCGAGGGGGTGAGCGTTGGCCGGTGCCCAAGCCCAGGCCAGGTCTAGCCTCCCCCCCGGCTGTGTGGTCGCGTGCAGGTCTCCCCACTCCCCTCCGTGTCTTGGCAGGGCCGGGCCTCAGAGGCTCTTGGTACCAACAGCATCAGGCCCAGCCCTGGGGGGCGGGGCGGATGCAAACCCTCCCGCTTCCCACCCCAGAGCAGGGAGCGCAGAGGGGTGGGATTTGAATATGGCCTTTCCAAGCTGGTGAGTATGGGTTTTTAATACTGGAGGCTAGTGTCTGGGGACAGGGCCTGGGTGTGGGCACGGGGGAAGGGACAAGATACGGGCTGTATGGGCGGCCTGGGCAGCTGTGACAAAGTCCCACAGATGGGCGGCTGAGAGCAACGGGAACTGATTCGCTGCTCTGGAGGCCAGAATCCCAAACCAAGGTGCTGCCCCGCCGAGCCCCCTCCAGCGGCTCCAGCGGAGGGTCCTGCCCGCCTCTTCCAGCCTCTGGGTGTCCAGGCGTCCCTGGGCTGTGGCCGCATCCCCCCACTCTCTGCCTCCATCTTCACTGGGCTTCTTCCCTCTTCTTATAAGGACACTCAGGCCACTGGATGAGGGCCCATCCTAACGACCTCCTCTTAAACTGATGACATCTGCAAAGAGCTCATTTCTACAAAAGGCGCATTCACAGGCACCAGGAACTAGGGCTTGGACACATGATTTTGGGGGACACAGTGGGAGGACCATGTCATGCCTGCAGGTGCCCCTCCACCGGCCCTTCCTGTGTACCCAGGTGGCCCCTCTCCAAGAAACAAAGGGCTGGCCCGGCCTTGAGAACCGAGCCTCTGTAGGAAAGCATTTTACCGAGAGATTCATTCTCCTCTCCCAAAGGACCCCATCCGTCCAGGGGGTGGGGCTGACCCTGGAGAAGCTGGGAAAATACCCCAGCCGAACGGGGCGCGGCCGACACCCGTGATGGACGGGGCGACCAAGGAGACGGAGCTTCACAGGGTGGGCCTCTCAGGTCTCCTGGGACCTGGGGTCCCACCGGCTCTGAGAAGACCTTTGCCCCTCCTGTGCTCTGGCCCCAGGCTCTGGAAGGGCGGGGCAGGGCGGGCGTGCTCTCCACGCTGAGCCCGCAGGGGAGCCACTGGAGACAGGCAGTGGGGGCCATGCGGAGCCGTGGGCAGGTGGTGGGGGGCCGGGCTGGGCCCTGGCTGGCAGCCGTCGGCAGTGGGTCCGGGAGGTGCTGGGGGTACTTGCTGTCAGGCAGGTTGATGGGACCCAGGTCCTTGTCACTCGGGCCTCTCCTGGGACCCTGGCGTGGCTCCCGAGTCTCTGCTAATGTGCCAACCCCGCCAGGCACGTGGGCAGCGCTGGGCCAGGGGTGAGGGCTTGGTGGGAAGGTCCCTGGGTGGTGGGAGGGGCGGGGGACGGCTAGAGCCTTCCCTCCCCGGGCCTCCTGGGCCCACCTGGCTCCCGCCCAGCCCCCCGGGTCCCCCTGCACCTGAGCTGTGTACACAGGCCTCGCCTGCTTGCCTTCCACCTGCTTTCTGCCTGGGCACCAGGCACACCCAGAGTCCCATCCGTGTCCCGGGCTGACAGGGGTGTGGGGCGGGTGGGCTGCGAGACTTCCACTGAGCCTTTTGGGGTTTCCAGGAACCCCCCTGCCAAAGCCTCTGCAGAAGAGGCAACGGGTGGGCGTGGCCGGCCGGCTGCTCCCAGGGAGGGGCAAGTGGGAGCATACTGGGGGTGGGCGTTGGGCCAGGAGGCGGGGCTGGGGAAGGGGGAGATGGAGCCCACACGGTGGGGCTTCAGGAGGGCCGGCCGGTGGGAAGGGCACCGGGGCAGACACCCTCTTGGTGGCCCCCCGTTTCCGCCAGAGCGGCGTCTGGGGAGAGGGGCTCCCCTGGCGAAGGCGGCCCCGGCCTCTGGCAGGAAGGGGGGCAGCGTTTGCCTCTCGCGCCCTCAGGAGTGGGCTCTGTCCCTGCAGACAGGGCCCATGCAGGGTGCCGGGGGCTCCCGTCCTGGCAGCCACGGGGGTGCTGGCGACCAACAGGGGCCGGGCCTGTGCCAGGGTGAGATCGAATTTGGAGGGTCTGGGAAGAAGCGAGGCCAGGTGAGAGGCTGCCGCACCCCACATCCTCCCCGCAACACTGAGCCCAGAGCCCGCTCTCCCACAGCGGAGGTGGTGGGTGCCCGGGGGCTGTTCAGAGCCCCAGGCAGAGACAGCTGCGGGGCTGGCAGCACCCTCCAGCTCCTGCCTCCCATGCCCAGGCACAGCGTGTCCAGAACCCTCCTCTCTCCGGCCTCAGCCTCTCCCGAGGGGATGGGGACGCCCAGGTCACACAGCAGGTCAAGACGGGGCCTGCGGGAGCCCCCTGGCCTCTGGCTGCGACCCTGCCCCCCCACCCTGTGGAGCCCAGCCCTCTGTGCCCAGGGCCCCCTTACCCAGCCGCCCCATACTCAGCACCCCCATACTCAGTACCCCCGTGCCCAACACACTCATGTCGCTGGTGGGCGAGGAGCGGCCCTTTGCCCTGAAGCCGTGGCTGAGGGACGTCCTGCGAAAGGGGCTGGTGAAGGCGGCTCAGAGCACACGTGAGGCCCTGGGCCAGGGCCTCAGCCCCGCAGCCCGATAACCCCACGGTCACCCTTCCCCGACAGTGCCACGGTGGCAGTGGGAGCAGCCCCGGGGACGCAGCAGAGGAGCCTCTTCCCCAGGAGGGTCCGGCCACCCCGTGGGGCCCACAGGCCTCAGCAAGACACCCGGGGGCAGCGCCAGCTTCCACACCCCGCTGCCCGTGGGTGGGCCCCCTTCGCCCCCTCTGCTTCCCTCGGGGGAGGAATCTGGCCAGTCGCTGGGGTCAGAATCAAACTTCTGGGCTTTATTTTCAGGCCGGCTGGGCCTTCAGAAAACCCAGTCAAGGACGTGGGGTCTCTGGTCTCCTTCACCCCAGAAATGATTGATTGTAGAAAAGACAAAAAGCCCTATCTGTGCACCCACTGGGCTGAGGGCTTTGTAATCTGGAAAGACCTTCCTGGGTTCTGGCCCAGCACAGGCCACGGGACAGAGTCGTGGCCTGTTCTGTCCAGATGGCGTCTGGGGGGGCCAGCTCCCAGCAGATGCCCCAAAGGCAGGAGGGGGCCCTGGGGCCGCTGGGCGCAGTGACTCCAGGGTCTGCAGGTGCCTGGATCCTGACCAGTGCACTCCGTGTGGGCCTTGCCCGGTACGTCGGACAGGCTGTGTGTGACCACTCACTGGCCAGCACGTCCACCAAGGCCCACGTGGTGGCCATCGGCATTGCCTCATTGGGCCGCGTGCTGCACCGTCAGCTTCTGGACAATGCCCAGGTGAGTGTCGGGCTCGGGGCACTGTGGCCTTGGGACATGGTGGGCCTGGGAGGCCCCCGAATATCGGCCACCCCCCAGGGCAGGAGGGCATGCCTTATGGAGGCCACCAAGGCAGCCTCGCAGCTGACCACAGCCCTCCACCTGTGACTGGGTCTCCCCACAGTGGACAGGCCAGCAGTGGACAGACCAGCCCCTGACCTCGGGGGCTCACGGGCCTGGGCGTGGTGGGGGGAGCAAGGCTGCTCTGAAGGACTGAGGCGGTGAAATGACTCAGAGCCAGGGGAGGGGGAGGGCAGAAGGGGGGAAGGCAGGAAGGGGGAGGGGGATGAAGGGGAGGGGCCAGAGGGGGAGCTGGGAGCCGCGTGCCCAGCATGTGGCCAGCAGGTGGCAGCATCGCCCAGGGAACGGCATGGGGAGGGGTCTGAGGCAGGTCCAATGAGGCCCAGGCGGCCCTGTGAGAGAAGCTCCCCCCAGCGCCGGGCTCTGTCTAGAGGGTCCCCTCCCTGTGCCTGCCTCTGGGCCCCCCGAAACAGCAGCCAGCCCTCCCTCCATCTGGAGGGCGGGGGCCCCGGACAGAAGCCTTGCCCAGGCCTCATTGACATGCATGGGGGACCCAGGAGGACAGCCCTGTCCACTACCCCGTGGACGATGGTGGCAACCAGGGCCCCCTCTGCCCCCGGAAAACAACCACTCCCACTTCATCCTGGTGGACCCGGGCACCCCTAGGAAGGTCAGCGAGCCCGCAGAGCTGTGGCTGAGGTTGGAGAAGCACGTCTCGGAGCAAAGGACCGGCTACGGGGGTGAGGCCTGCCTGGGTGCCCAGGGAGGCTGCCAGGGAACACGGGATGGGGGTGGTCACAGCGTGTGGACGGGGCTGGAAGGACCACCAGGACGGGCAGGGAAGGGCATTCCCGGCTGAAGGCACAAAGCATGCCAGGGTGGTGAGACTCAGGCCACTGGGAAGACCTTGGGCGGGGGGTGGGGGTGGGGGATTGCCAGCCACAGCGGCAGGGGACACAGCTGTGGGGAGTGGCTGTAGGTCGATTTCCAGTGGGGGTCCCCTGGCTAGAGGCTCTGGTTGTGGGTGGGCTCCGAGCTTTGGAAAGAAAAAGAGATTTCCCAGTTTCAAGAAGCCTATTTCCCTCCACTGGCCCGACGTAAGGTGCCACCAGGGGGCAGTGTTGTCCGAGACCTGGGCACCGCTGCGGCCAGTGGCGGGTTCGAAAGCTGTTGCTAACGCTAGTGCACGACTATTGATAAACAAGATACGTATAATTGCCTCCAATATGTATAAGCAACGTGAAGCGTCTGTCAGCTGAGCACCCTTTAATGAAAACACAACCGAAGCTGTGTTTAAACCATCACCACGTGGGTGCAGCGCTGAGCCCCGTGCTCCCGACGCCTGGCGGCCCACGCAACCCAAGCATCCCCCACATTCATTCAGGAGGCGCCTTAGGAGTTAGAGGGGCCCCTGCTGGGGGTGGGGCGGGGGGGACGATCCCGCCTGCCTGGAGTCCTCCCAGCAGTTTGCCGGGCTCCTCCCACACAGCCTACCCAGCAGGTCCAGGCTTCTCTGAGGTTTCACCTTCAGAAGTCTCATTTCTGGTTTGTTTGGGGAAAAATCTGACCAGCGCCCCTCCTTTACCTCTTCGACGTGCTCCGTGGGCCTCGGATGACCTGGTGGTCGATAGAGCTTTCTGCCCTGATGCGGGGAGATGCCAGGCCCTCGGAATGTGGCTGGTGCAGCCAGGGACTGAATATTCAACTTGAGATTTAAATAGCCACGAAGCGGCCACGTCGCATAGTGAGGTGCGGGGCTGGCATCCTGTCCCCGGGTGACGGGGCAGCCTGGAGCCCACACTTCTCTAGAAAAAGCTTCTTGGCTGGAGTTTGCCCAGAAGACGTGGCAAGTTGATGGTCTGAGGCCGTGGTGGTCACCCCACGGGGAGGGTCCCAGGCCCTCCGCTCGCCCGGGCACCTGGGTGGCCCTCGTGCTGCGTCTGCTCCAGCAGCATCGAGATCCCCGTCCTCTCTCTGCTGGTCAACGGTGACCCCAGCACCCTGGAGGTAGGCAGCGGCGGCAGGTGGGGGCCTCCTGCGGGGCCCCCGCCAGGGCAGGGATGGACCTGGAGCTGACTCGGCCTGCTGGCCCTCCCTGCCCGCCTCACAGGACTTCCAGGGCCGTGGAGCACGCCGGCCCATGGCTGATCCTGGCGGGCTCGGGGGGCATCGCCGACATGCTTGCTGCCCTGACAAACCAGCCCCACCTCCTGGTGCCCCAGGTGGCCGAGAAGCAGTTTAGAGAGAAGTTTCCCAGTGAGAACTTCTCCTGGGAGGACGTCGTGCACTGGACAGAACTGGTATACACCGGCCAGGACCGCAGTCAGGAGGGCCAAGCGCTGGTCCCTACCCCAGACCCCGCCCCCTACAGTGCCCACGCCCGGCCCCTCTGGCTGCAAAGCTACCCCACCTTCCCGTGCTCACCCCTGCTTCAGGCCCTCACGCCTGGGGGCGGAGCCTCAGTCTGTGGGTGGGGCTGCCCTGGGCCCAGCGGGCAGAGGGCTGGCATTCTCACGGGGGGACATGGGGTCATATACCACGTGCCCGGCCTGAGGCGCCAACTTGGGGCCTTTGTCCATCCTCGAGGCACTGGTGAAAGGTGAGGCCTGGCCGCGCCCACTGGGAGGCCTGCGGAGGGCACCGGGCAGAGGCAGATGGCTGACCAGCTCCCAGCCCTGCCCCGTCCTGGGTCTCGGCCTCCAGGGGCAAGGCCGCCGCCTGGGGGCTGTCAGTGGCCGGGAGGGACCCCTGGCACGGCTGCACTCTGCTGTGTGTGTGAGCGTGTGGGTGTGTGAGCGAGCGTGCTAGTGTGTGGGCGTGTGTACCGGTCACTGCTCGCTTCGGCGGGGCAGCACGTGTAACAGAACTGGAGGAATACAGAGCCTACCAAGGCCTCCGTGCAAGGCCTCCGTGCAAATCCGTAGAAAGTCCTGCCTTTGGCAAGTTTTATGTTACTATATCACAATTTAAAAAACTAAAGTGTTCAGTTAATTCAGGGAGCTGTAGCGTTTTCATAAGGTTGTGCACCGTTACTACTGATTCCAGAACGTTTCCACCACCCAGAAGAACCCTGCTAGTCACCCCGATTTTCCCCAGCCCCCCGCAACCCCGCATCTGCCGTGTCTAAGGATTTGCCCACTTGTGGCATTTCCTGCGAATGGGATCACACACTGTGTGGCCACTGGCGTCTTTCCTTCGCTGAGCACGACGTTTTGGGGGCTGTCCACGTTGTAGCCTGTGTCGGCCTTCACTCCTTTTTCGGGTGGAGTAATATTCCACATTTTGTTTCTCTGTCCCTCTGTTGATGGACACTCGGGTTGTCTCCACTTTCTGGCTGTCACCTGACGTGCTTCTTCTTGGACATAAACACCTGTGGAGGGGCTGACCGCTGGTGGGGGACACAGGCCCAGGCAGGGAGGGGCTGTGCGGGGCAGGGGGCCGGGACACCCTTGAGGGAGGGGAGTCTCCTCCAGACAGGCCACCGGCCCCCTGCTCTTCCGTTCACCCTTGGGGTCCCCTTGGGGTCCTGGCGCTCCCAGCATTGGCTCCTGGGGGTCTTGGGATGTCTTGTGAATCTAGAGGGTGTGGAGCGAACCAGAGCGCCATTCCCGTGGCTGTGCGTCTAGGACAGTCACCTTGAGGGACCCTGTGCCCAGCGGCTCTGCCGGCGCCTAGGTTCGCCCTCCCCCCCTCCCCTCCTCCGCCCGCAGCCCACAAGAGCCGTAGCCAGGAGGCGCAGGACTGCCCGGGTGAGCTGAAGCTGCCCGTGGCCTGGGACCGCGTGGACATCGCCAGGAGCGAGATCTCAACAGGGACGTGCAGTGGAAGGTGCTGCCCGACTGTGGCCAGATCCGGGCGGGGACGCGTGGAGGGCTGCGGCAGGTGGTGTCCGGGTCCATCCTGGCCCAGCTGTGGCTGCGCGGGCCGGGGGCGACCGGGGCACCTCCCGCTGCTGCCTCACTCGTCTGCACCCCAAGGCAGGATGGGCTGAACTGCGGCGGGTGTGGGCCACCCGGCGCAGCGGGACAGGCGGGGGCCTTGCCGAGGGTCCCCACGCCCGCCCCACCGGCTCCCTCTCACTCTCCGCCCAGTCCCACGACCTGGAGGAGGTGATGATGGACGCGCCGGTGAGCAGCAAGCCTGAGTTCACGCGCCTCTTCGTGGACAGTGGCGCCAACGTGGCGGACTTCTGACGTACGGGCGGCTGCAGCAGCTCTACCGCTCGGTGCCCCCCAAGAGCCTGCTCTTCCACCTGCTGCAGCGCACGCACGAGGAAGGCCAGCTGACGTGGGCCGGGCTGGGCGCCCAGCAGGCCCGGGAGCCGCCCACCTTCTCCCTGCACGAGGTGTCGCGGGTGTTCAGGGACTTCATGCACGACGCCTGCCGTGGGCTCTACCAGGCAGTGAGCTGTGAGCGGGTGGCAGGAGGGGGGCGCCGGCGGGGCCGCGGCTGCGGGCTGACACCCCCGTCCTCCAGGAGCAGGGCCCGGTCCGGCAGCCCACGGGCCAGAAGGGGCTGCTGGACCTGAACCAGAGGAGCGAGAACCCCTGGAGGGACCTGTTCCTGTGGGCGGCGCTGCAGAACCGCCACGAGATGGCTACCTACTTCTGGGCCATGGTGAGGACTCCGGGGAGGGGCCGGGTCCCTGGGGAGGTGGGGGGAGGCAGCCGCATCCTCAGACCTGGCCTCCCAGGGCCAGGAGGGCGTGGCAGCCGCTCTGGCCGCCTGCAAGATCCTCAAAGAGATGTCCCACCTGGAGCTGGGGGGCCGAGGGGGGCCGCACCCTGCGTGAGGCCAAGCACGAGCAGCTGGCCCTGGGTAGGCAGCCGAGCAGTGGGGGCTGCAGGGACCCTGTGCGCCTCGGGGCCACTGGGCTCCCCCCAAAATCCTAATGGGGGCAGACGGGTACACAGCTGACGAGGACGCAGCTCCAAGGCTCGGGCCAGCTGGGCCTGTGGCCAGGCGGGCGGGGACACTCGGGGAGAGGGAGGCCCCCAGGATCCCGACAGCCTCTGTGTGGCCGGCCTCTCCCGGGCCTCACCAGCCCCCTGGGAGGCAGGCACAGGGCAGAGGGCCGGCCGGAGGAGGAGGGCAGGCGGGCCAGGCCTGGGCATCATGGCAGCGGCCGCGCCCTCGGCAGACCTCTTCTCCTAGTGCTACCGTAACAGCTGGTGCGCCGGAACCGCTCATGCAGCAGGGCCACGTGTCTGCACCTGTGGCCACCGAGGCCGACACCGAGGCCTTCTTTGCCCACGACGGGGTGCAGGTGAGCCCCGGGGAGGGCTGTGGGGCGAGGGGCTGGGCAGACAGGAGGTGCCCCAGCCGACCCCTCTCACGTGCCTCCCCCAGCCTGTGTCCTGGCCATGGGGGTGGGGGGTTCCCTCAGCTGGCCACTCCCCCCACGTCCAGCCCTTTCTCCACCTCCAGTCTCGGAAGAAACCCCGCTTCCTCAGCTCAGCCCTCCCGGACCCCCGAGCCGGGCCTGCCCCGTCGAAGGGTTTTCCTTCCCCAGCAGGGCAGAGGCTCCAGGAACTCCAGGAGCCAGGGCTGGGAGGGGTGATGCTCCCGCTGAACCTGGAAGGGCAGGCCTGCTGCGGGCACAGCAGGGCAGAGGTGTGGAGGCGGGGGCGGCGGGGGGGCAACCGTGCCTTTATTTCAGGCCTTCCTGACCGAGATCTGGTGGGGGGACATGGCCGCGGGCACGCCCATCCTGAGGCTGCTGGGTGCCTTCCTCTGCCCGGGCCTCGTGTATACCAACCTCATCACCTTCAGGTCTGTCAGGACAAAGCGGCTGGGGGGCCTTGGGCTTCACTGGGGCTGGTGGCGGCACGTCCCCGGCGCCGGCCCACGCCGCATCCAGCATCCGTGTGGGCCCCCCTATGCACGCCCCCTACCCGTGTCCCTTCGCAGTGTGTCCAGCACTTCCTCTGCTGGCTGGTGCCTGAGACCAAGTGGAGGGCCTCTGGGTGCCCTTCCCACGTCCCTGAGGGCCCCCTGTGCTCCCAGTGAGGAGGCCCCTCTAAGGACGGGCCCAGAGGACCTGCAGGGGCTGGGCAGTCTGGACACGGAGAAGAGGCTGCTCTGTGGCCCGGGCAGTCGGTGAGGGCCCTGCGGAGGGTGGGCAGTGGCAGGGAGGCTGGGTGCCGGTGGGCAGCGGCAAGCTCGGGGCTCTGGCCACCCGTCTCATCACTGGCCGTGGCCTCCTTCGTGGTGCCGGGCGGAGCAGCTGGCCAAGGCGCCAGGAACTCAGCGCGGCCGAGGCCCCAAGCCGCCTCCTCGTTCACGCGCTGGCGGAAGTTCTGGGAGGCACCCGTGACCGTGGTCCTGGGGAACGTGGTCACGTACTTTGCATTCCTCTTCCTGTTCACCCACGTCCTGCTGGTGGACTCCAGGTCCCCTCCCCAGGGGCTGTCGGGGGCTGAGGTCACCCCCTACTTCTGGGTCTTCACGCTGGTGCTGGAGGAGATCCGGCAGGTCAGCAGTGGGCCCAGCCCACCGAGCCCCATCCCAGCTCCAGATGGAGCCCCGATCCCTGACAGTCACAGCCTGGCCATGGCGGGGCTGTCCCCAGCTAGGTGGGGGCCCAGGTAGCCGTCACCGGGCCGTCTGCCCTCTGCCAGGGCTTCTTCACAGATGAGGACATGCACCTGGGGAAGAAGTGCACTCTACGTGGAGAACAACTGGAACAAGTGTGGCATGGTGGCCATGTTCCCGTTCGTCGTCGGTGTCACCTGCAGGTCTGTGGGTCCCAGAGGCCTGGCAGGGGCAGCCCTGGTGGGCTGGTGGGCCGGGCTGCTTCAGGATGGGTCTGCTCAGGCCCCGGAAACCCTGTGTTTGTACGTCCCGTGCTGTGTGTCCTGGGGGAGGCCCCTGCCCTCTATGGGCACCAGCAGCCGTCCAGCCTGCCTTCCCCCCGCCTGCCAGGATGCTGCCCTCAGTGTTTGAGGCCGGCCGCACGATCCTTGCCATCGACTTCATGGTGTTCACGCCCCGGCTCATCCACGTCTTTGCCCTCCACAAGCAGCTGGGCCCCAAGATCATCATCGTGGAGCGGATGGTGAGCCCCCGCCCCCGGGAGGGCGGATGCTTCTCTCCCCACTCGCCTACCCGCCGTGGAGATGAAGGACGTCTTCTTCCTCCTCTTCCTCCTGAGCATGTGGCTTGTGGCCTACGGCGTGACCAGCCAGGCGCTGCTGCACCCCCATGACGGGCGCCTGGAGTGCATCTTCCGCCGTGTGCTCTACCGGCCGTACCTACAGATCTTCGGGCAGATCCCACTGGACGAGATCGACGGTCAGCACGCAGCCTGGGGGTGGGCGTGGGGGGTCCTCTGTGCCCACTCTACGTGGGACCCCCACCCCAAGGTGCAGCTGAACCGAGTCCAGTTATGAACGTTCCTTTTGTAAGACCCTGGACAGGTGGCCCTTGAGAGGGGTGTTTGAGGGTCACAGGAGACCCCGGCCTGGAGTGGCTGAGAGCGGGGGGTCCCCGAGGCTGGCCCCCCAGGCCCTGCCCACCCACACAGGGCCACGTCCAGCAGGGGACAGCTCTGGGCTGATGTGTGTCAGCTGCGGAGGCCCCAAAGTCGGGCCTCGGGCTGGAGATGGAGACGGGGCTGCAGGGAGAGAGAGCAGGCTGGGTGGGGTGGCGGGAGGCTTGCCGGGAGGGGGGATGGGTAGGCACTACAGGTCACCTGGGGTCTGGGCCCTCCAGCTGCCCCGTCCCCCCGGCATGTCCCCAGTGGGCATCAGGTCTCCTGTCAGCCCCCATCCACCCGGCCCCGCACCCAGCCTCAGGCCCACCTGCTGGAAAGGCCCTTAGCTAGGAAGCCGCTCCTGATGGAATCTGTGCTTCTGGGGACACACCCAGTGTGTGTGCCTGATCTCCGGCCGGGTGTGTGTGGTCTGTCTGAGGGGTGTCTCCAGGGCGGCCCCTGTATGGGGGGTTGGGGGCGCTGGGGCTGGTGGAGGCTCTGAGAACTTCCCACAAGTCAGCACAGTGTGGGGGGCAGAGTGGCTCAGCCATGGGGGCTCAGGGAGACCTGGGCTGGCGGCGGGGATGCCTGTACAGGCTCTGGGATGGCTGGGACTCGGGGAGGGGGAGGGGGAGGGGGGACCAGCCCCTCAAGCAAGGTGGGCCAGCAGCCAGGGCCCAGTGTGGGGGCCCAGGGCACCCGCCCTGCCGGGCACTCCTGGCGCGAGGAGGGGGGCGGAGGGATCATTCGCTCAGGCTGGTGTCAGACTGAGGCCACCTGGGGCCCACCGGGCGATCACGGGCACACTGTCCCTGAGGCCTGACCGCGGCCACTGCAGCTGATGACGCGAGGTCAGCGCCCCGCGACCTGGTAAATATTTGTCGATGGGATGAGGACGTGACCGAAGCAAACAGGCCTCCGGGATGGGGCGGCGGGGGGGCTGGGCCGTCATGGGACTTGCCTCCTAATTAGGGTGCTCTGCAGGCTCATTTCCTCCACTGTTTTCTTAGGCCCCCAGCCCCCGGCACTGGGGCCGGTGTTTGCTCATCCGTGGGCACCAGTTTCCAGGCCATTAGTTTAACGAGGCCCTGCCCGCCCTCCAGCCCTCCCCGCCCGCACCATATGGCCCCTGCTGGCGGATGCTACCATGACCCCCAACTGCCCCAGTCCCACGGGGCCCCTCGGAAGGAGGGGAGTGAGGTGGGTGCCCCCAGGACCAGGCAGGGGTGGGGGGGTCACTCCTGCCCCCACGGCCACACACTGGTTCAAGGGAACTCTGTCATGGTTCGGGGTCCCCAGGAGCCTGGGGCCACCTGGGCAGGACGGAGGAAGGGTAGACTCCTGGGGGTCCAGCCTGAAGTGCTGCTGTGGCTGCCAGGCCGAGTTCCACGGTGGAAAGTCCGTGACCAGGGCCGGGCCTGGGCCGGCACGGAGGGTCCCGCAGGTCCCTGTCTCCCTCCCTCTCTCTCTTCACCCGCCCCCCCCACCCCTGGCTCCTCCCTGTGAGCCCACGGTGGTACAGCCAAGAGTAATTCCCTCACTTATGGCCGAGAGGGAAGGCAGCCCGCGGGGCTCCCCGGTGGCCGCCCTGCCCTCCCTGCCCCACATGCACCCGCGGGAGCTGGGGGCTGAGCGTCCAGGGCAGAGCTCCGTCTCTGGGCTCTAGGAGGTCAGAGACAAGGACAACTCACTTCCCAGCCTAGCCTGGTGGTGCCTTTGAGAGTTATGGGGGAGACGCAGGGGTCTCATGACCACGGAGCCGCTTCCATCAGACAGGTTTACAGCTTCACAGACACGCTTTTCAGGCCTGGCCCTGGCTCACCTCTCGGGGTGCCGGAGGGAGGGAGGGAGGAGGGTCACCCATCAGCGCCGGGCAGATCTGCGGGCGGGGAGGGAACTCACGTGGGGACGCACCAACCCCCATCACAGTAACTCACTCAGGAGGGACTCACCCCCGTGAGGGAGACACGCGGACACGGAAACAGGCCCTGCCAGCCTGACACGCAAGCAGGGAGGCAGGGACACAGGCACACACAGAGCCAGAGGCCCCCAGTGCCCCCCGGACTCAGTCACAGCATGAAGACTGGGAGGGGCAGTCACAGAAACACAGGCCTACGTGCAGGCGTGTGTCCGCGTCCACGCACATGCACGCACGCACGCGCACGGCCTGTGGAGGTCGCCACCTGGAGTCACAAGCCCTCTTGATGGGCAGGCGCACTCTCCCCGCTTCCTCCGCACCTTCCTCCCATCTCCTGGGATGGGGTGGGGGTCCAGGCTGGCCCTGCAGGGGTAGAGGCAGGCAGGGGAGGGGCTGCCCCACCCAGAGGGCACTTTTCAGGCTGGCTTGTCTCCATGCCCACAGTGATCCGTGTCAAGGGTGTTCTGCCTCCATAGGCTTTGGAAATGGTGCAGATCTGCCCCCCAGCTCAGAGTCCTGTGATAGGCAGTAGGGCCATAAAGGCCCTGAGAAGTCCTGCAGGAGAGACTCCACCTCCCCTTGCCGAGGCCAGCTCTCCCCACACTGGCTCTGAGCAGAGCCTTTGGCGGTGGTGGTGGTGCTTGGGGGTGACCCATGAAGCAACCAGCAGAAACCGGGGTCCTCCACACGGCCTCGGCGCTGCCTCCAAAGCCTGCGGTCTGGCTGTGAGCTCGGTCCAGCAGCAGTGCGGAAGTGGGGCTAGCACCGCTAGGCCAGGCACCCAGGACTGGAGGGTCCCACGACAGGAACTCAGCGCCGAAGCCCAGGTGACCCCCAGGAAACCACAAGAGTTGGCCGCCTAACCAGGGCCCTCTGTCCCAGGGTAGCCTCGACTGCGGGACAGAGCTCTCGATACCCAAGGGCATTTGCAGCTCAGCCCCGCACCGGCTGCACTGAGCCTACTCCCCTTTCAGAAGCCTGCGTGAACTGCTCCGTGCACCCCCAGCTGCTGGAGGACTCGCCCTCCTGCCCCAACCTCGACGCCAGCTGGCTGGTCACCTTCCTGCTGGTCACCAACGTGCTGCTAATGAACTCCCTCATCGCCATGCTCAGGTGCCCGCCCTGCCTCCTTGTTCCGTCCACGTCGGGGGGCCCTTAGTTCCAGCATCTCTGGCCCAGACCTGCCTGGCCCTCCGGACTTCAAGCTGCATTCACCTCTGCCCTCAAGAGGGGCCTGGAAATGGGGTGTCACCCAAAACTGTGGCTCCCCTTCGGGTTGGGCCTGGAGGTCAGGGCACCTAGGAGGTGGTGCAGGGCAGGGCAGGTGCGTGCGTGTGGGTGGAGTGGCGATGCTTTCCCAGGCCGCCGCCCCCCAGGGAGTAGGGCCCGGGTCTGCGAAGGCTGCAGCAGATGGGGCAGTGGAAGACCCCAGAGGAGTGGAGAGAAGTCACAGGAGGAGGGGACGGCGAGGCGGGGGGAGCCCTTGGGACTCCAGGAACAGCGCAGGGAGCCGGGCCATGTGCCCACCGCCGCCCACACGCATCCGCAGCTACACGTTCCAGGTGGTGCAGGGCAACGCGGACACTTTCTGGAAGTTCCAGCGCTACCACCTCATCGTGGAGAACCACGAACGCCCCGCCCCGGCCCCGCCCTTCATCCTCCTCAGCCACCTGAACCTGGTGCTCAAGAGGTTCTTCCGGAAGGAGGCCCAGCAGAAGGGGGCGCGCCTGGGTGAGGCTTGGGCTGGACTCAGCTGCCCGGACCGAGGTGGGGGGCGGGGGGGGGGCCCTGGGCCTGGGGAGGGGCAGCGCGCCCTGGCCCCGTCTGCAGTGACACTGCAGGCTGCCGCACCACAGGGAGGGCTCCTCCTGCCTGGCTCTGCCCCTGAGGCTGCCTGGCCTTTCCAGAGAGGGACCTGCCGGAGCCCCTGGACCAGAAGATGGTCACCTGGGAGGCGGTGCAGAAGGAGAACTTCCTGAGCGAGCTGGAAAGGCGGAGGAAGGACAGCGGGGAGGAGCTGCCGCAGAAGACGGCCCACAGGTGCATTGACCCGGCCCCGCCCCGCCCCACCCACCTGGGTGGGCGTGGCAGGTGGCCTGGGGTGCTGAGCCCACAGGGCGGCTTACAGGGGCAAGGGCCCAGCCTGGAGCGCTGGCCGCCTCCCCTGCAGGGTGCCGGTAAGTAGAGGCGCCGGCGGAGCTGGCGAGGGGTCGGATCTCACGCCATGGGACTGGGGGCTGTGAGGTCTTTACCAGAATCACTGCTGGGCGTCAGGCTGCCTTACAGCTGGCGTGGGCTCTCACGTCACAGGGCCTGAGCTGGGGAAACGGGCCGAGAGGGGCAGGGATGTGGCCCGGTCCAGCACACGGCCTCCCTCCCGACCCTGGCCAGAGCTCTGCTGGGGCCTTGCCTGCCCTGCATTTGGGGGATGTGGCCAACACTCATGGTGTTCTCTGCTCTCCCTCAGACCCACGTGCCTGGTCCTGCCTGCGGGTGAGGGGTGGGGACAGCCCCGCCCACCACTGCTGGACAGAACCCCGCCCCCGCCCCGTGCCTGCAGGGAGGGTGCAGCAGAGCTCTGCACCCAGGCCCGAAGGGCTAGAGCACCCTGAACTCAGGCGCCCACAGAGGCTCAGTGCCCCCCAAACCCACCCGAAGGGCCTGGGCCACAGGATGGGGGAGGACGGGAAGGTTTCCCAATCTGGGAGCCCGCCCCGCCCCGCCCCGCACTCAGGGCCTGCTGCCTGCCTGCTCCTATCCCAGGGTGGACTTCGTAGCCAAGTACCTCGGGGGCCTGAGAGAGCAGAAGCGGGTCGAGCGTCTGGAGTCTCAGGCAGGCAGGCACACCAGGGCGCCCTTCTCTCCCGGTGCAGGGGCCTGGCCGCGGGGCTCAGCAGTCAGGGCAGGGGCAGGGCAGGGAGGGCCTGGGGCTTCATACTCGTACCCACCCTTCCCTGAGCGGGAGACCCTGCAACTCTCCCCAGGGGGGTCCTGCATTTAAGACCCCTCACCGTCTACTCCCCACATCACGGTGCCGGAGGGCCTGCTCCCCCACCCCCCGCCTCCTCCGAGAGGCAGCCACCAGAGGAGGGTCACAGAGCAGTGCGGGCACCGGTGGGCAGGGGAGGCGGGCATGGCGTGGCCCGGGAGCTCCCAGCACGCCTCCCTTCTGCAGGTCGACTACTGCACGGCGCTCCTCTCCTCCATGGCCGACACGCTGGCCCGCAGGAACAGCTACTGGAGTAGGTGTGGCTGTCCCCACACGTCCTGGGTGGGCTTGGGGCAGGGTGGGCGGGAGCAACCCACCGCCAGCCCGCTGACCTGGGCCTCCGCGTCCCACCTGTCCTGGGAGGGGCCCGGCCTACGTCTCTGATGGCCTTCGGCTGACCACAGTCTTCAGGGTGGGTAGGGGCCCTCTGGTGAAGCCCACCGACCCAGCGAGGGTGTGAGGGCGTGGCCACCCAGACTCCCGAGCCTCTGCCTGGCCCCACTGGGCTGCTGCCCACCACCCCCCCTGCCGGCCAGGGCCACCTCTCCCTTCCCCGGCTGCCCCACTGGGCGCCCAGCAGCTGAGGAGGGGCCTCCCTTCCCCCACCAGACTCCCGAACTTCAGTGGTGGGAACCCACAGGCCTCTGCTGACCACAGAGGGGGCCTGGGCAGCAGGGAACACCCAGAGGCCGGCCGGCTGCCCTCGAACACCTGAGCCAATTGGACCATCTGCACACAGGGCCCACCTCTCCCAGAGCCCCAGGCCCCATGGACGCGCCGGCCTGCCCCCACCTCCAGTGGAGCCCCCCAACAGGATGTGGCTCAGGGCTTTGCCCTGCCCGGCACCTTCCCTGGACGTCCTGGGCCCGGGGTGCAGCGGTGTGTCGTGGGTCCCCCCTGACAGGCAGAGCCCTCAGGACCCCGAGCAGAACCAACCAGCCAGGCCCAGGAGAGCAGACACTTGTTGAGTGCCCTGTGCGGGGCACCTCCCGTTAGGTGGGCAGCTAGCTGCCTTGGAGTCCATGCCCAACCTGTGTCGCCCACCAAGAGGCTGGTCTTTTTCTGAAACGCTTGCACTTGGAATTTCTGTCCTTTAAGACCCAAGACTGTGTGTATCGGCTGCCACGGCACGTCCCCGACAGCTCGCACAGTGAGTGGCGGGCTGTCCAGCCTGGGCAGTGGCTGCGGGTCACCTCCCCAGGAGGACCCGCCCCCAAAGCTGCTTTATCTTAAATGGAGCCTGGGAAGTACACCCACACCTTGGGCTGCAGCCCCACATGAGAGTGGACCCTGGGGGGCGTCTGGGAGGTGTCAGGCGGTCAGTAAAGCACTGCGGGGGGAGAGGGACTTCCTGCCCTGCAGGGATGGGGTCTGGGCCCCTGAGCTTGCCCCAGCTGCGTGGCCAGCCAGGCCGGTCTCTCCTTCCCTTAGGGACCTGGAGCCCGGGGTAGCGGCAGCAGGGGCAGGGCCAGGCCCGGGGCTCAGCAGCACGATGGGCTGGCCAACCCCAAGTGCGGTCCCAGGAGAGCCACGCCCACTCCCGGCTACCTCCCCAGCACCCTCTGGGGACCCTCCTCATCGCCCTGCACAGCAGCTCCGCAGTCCTGGCGACACTGTCCCAGGACACCGGTCGTCGTCACACAGCCTGGGTAGGACAGTCAAGGGTGAGCTTGGCCAGGGCTGGAGACGGCGCCCGCTCAGCTGGCCGCTTCCTGGGGTCTACAGGCGTATGCTGGAGGCAGGGGCTGCACACCAACAGCCGTGAGCCCGCCTCTGGGCGGGTCTGGGGTGTCCACCTCTTGCTCTGGGCTGAGGAGGGGGTCCCCTCAGCTGGGCTGGGAAGACGCGCCACTGAGGAGCACAGGCTTGATTGAGAAAGCTTCAGAGCCCCCTGACGCTAAGCTGGGAGGCTGCAATGTGGGAACAGCGTGATGGGGTGTCTGGAGGGAAGACAGGGCCCTGGCCACAGTCCCGGGCGGATGGGGGCTGACAAAGAGACACGGAGACTGAGGAACACCCAGAGCCTTTACTGTGCCCCTGGGCACGGGGTGAGTCAGGGTTTCCGCCAACCCCTGGCCCACACCCTCAGCAAGGTCTCTGCCCTGGCCGCTGGTGCCACCGACAGGCAGCCCGCTGGCTCCCTTCCCTGGGGGTGGGGCCCCGGGCCTGCTCCGCCCCTGAAGCCACCCCGGGGGGACAGTGGGGGCCGTCCCTCCAGCTCGGCCAGGGCAGGCAGGCGGCCAGGCGGTCTCCCCGCTCAGACGTCCGCGCCTGGGGCCTCGGGGCTGCTGTCCTTGCTCCGGAAGTGGTCCCTGCTCCGCTTCCTGCTGCTGTGGAAGCCCACCGCCTCCCCTGGCAGGGCGCTGGCCCCAGACCCCGCGAGGGCCTCCCCCTCGGGTGCACCCACCTCCTGCAGGCGCCCCCGGGGTCTGCTCCACTCCTCGGCCTCCGGGCTCCCGGGCCTGGCCAGGTGGGCCAGCTCCACGGGGCCCTCGCCCCCCGCCGCCCCCGGGATCCCGTGGGGGCTCCCACCCGGCTCCCCTGCCTTCCTCGGGACCCTCCTCTTCTCAAGCCGGGCCTCGCCGGTTCGCACCGGTTTGGAGAAGATGAGCCGGCCCTCCCCACAGCTAGAGGGGTCCTGGTTGAAGGAGGGCACGTAGCCGCTGGGGGCGGCCAGGCTCTGGGGGCCCAGGAAGGCCAGGGCGGCGGCCCGGTTGCTCTGTTTGCTGGCCTCAGCCACACCCTCCAGGCTGTACTTGGTCCAGCGCTCGGGGTGGGCCACGTAGTCAGGAACGGGGGGCACCCTCAGGGGAGCGGGATTCTGAGTGGCCCTGCTCGGGCCCCCGGCTGGAGGCCGGCTGGAGAGTGTCAGCGGCTGCCGGAAGCCCCCACTGTCGCCAGGGCCGGCTGGGGCCGCAGAGGGCGGAGCCCGCCTGGCTGCCCGCTCCAGGCCGCCGAAGATGTCGTGGCTGCGCTGGGAGAAGGTGGGGCTCGTGCCTCTCAGGTGGAAGGGCTGCACCGCCGCTGTGGCGAAGCTCCTGGGGGGCGAGGGGGGCTCATCGGGGCCCGAATCCCCCGGGGCCTCCCCGGGCAGCCCCCCGGGAGACAGAGCTTCCACTTCAGCATCGTCGAGCAGGCTGAGGTCGGAGTCCGAGTCGCTGAGGCAGACGGGGTCGGGAGACAGAGCGGCACCCCCGGAGCCAACGGAGTGCTGGCCGTCCCCTGCCTCAGCCATGCGTCCCCCAGCCACGCCGCACCTGCACCAAAGCAGCCCAGGGAGTCGGTCACTGGAGACAACACAAGCTCAGAACAAGTCCCTCCTGCAGACCCACCACCCCGGGGAAGGGTCAGCAGCAAGAGCTGTGTCCAAGGAGGAGCGGCCAGGTCCCCCGCCCCGAAAGCCCTCCTCTTACCTCCCTGGCTGCTGGGTGCCTGTGCTGGACGGCTGGTGGGCCGAGCGCTGGAGAAGGTTCTTGGTCGCAACGGCCCCCGCCAGGCACGGCTCTGCTCAGTGGCTCAGTGGCTGGCTGAGGGCAGGGAGGGAGAGGCAGCCCTCAGACCAGACGGCAGACATGCAGGAGTGGAGCCGCCACCCCGGGAGCGGGCCTGGGTTTACAGAGCCCCTGACACAGCCAGGCCCAGGAGCTGGTCCTTCTGACGTGTCACCTCATTCAATCCTCTCCAGCCAGTCTGACTAAAGCCACTAGGAGGCCTGCTGCAGGGGGGGCGGGGGCTTGAACCCAGGGCCGAGAGCGACCTCTGCTCTGCACGCCTTCTCTCAGCCAGGCACGCTGCATGGCAGGCAGCGGGTACTCCACAAAGGCCGGGGCGCCTGCCTGCTCCGTGGGGAGGAGGTGTGCTCCTGACCGCCGTGAGATGCCCTGGAGCTCCAGACGAGTCTGCAGACACATCCTTGGCATCTGCGGGTCAAGCGCTCAGGAAGCCGGAGCGGCCTTGCTCCGCAGAGGCCAGCCCCACAGCTCCTGGGGCATTTGTCCTATGCGCCTCCGCCCACCCCTCACTTTCCCAGCTGAGCAGAGAAGTGCTGCCAGCACCTGGTCAGTGTTCCAGTGTCACCAGGCACCCTGAAGCTTGTTTCCAGGCTCAGAGGACAGCCCAGTCTCACCCTCCGCACAGACATCCGTCCACCAACTCCCTCTTCCCACCAAGCCTCCCTGGCCCAGGGTGACCCCTTGCTCGTGCACCCACCGAGGACCAGGCCAGGCAGACCTGCAGTGTCTCTGAGTGCCCGGCACCAGGTCAAACACAGGCAAGATCTCCATTCCTCTGGGCCTCGCGTGACTCCCAAAATGAAGGCACAACTCCAGGAAAGGGGACACGAAGTAAACGCCAATGGTGTCTGTTTTAGAGCTGGCAGGACCGGAGCGGGGAAGGAGTTGCCCGTCATACAGTACGTTGCAGGCAAAGCTGGAGTTCAAACCGGACTCCGGCTTCCTAAATTTGCAACCCCGTCCCCTGGAATGGCGGGAACGCCCGTGGTGAGTGGGACACGCCGCGGGGAAACGGGGATCTCGCCCCAAGACAGGGAATGCGGGGCCTGCATCTCTGAGTTCTCTGAGAACTTCCCAAGCTCAGCGCAGGGCAGAACTGAGTACAGGCTGAGGGCCTGGGGGGCTCGGAAGCGGGGTTTTCTCAGGGCCGGAATCCGGGCAGGCCAGGTCCCAGAGAACACTGGCTTCTTTGCCGGTTGTCTCGCTCCCCTGGGAGGCGGACCCTTGACTTTCTCCACTCCACGCGCCCAGGGCCTCGGCCCGTGCCCAACAGGTTCTCCGTGTCGGGGGCTTAAGTTCTGGGGCCAACTCGGGTGGATGGGCCAAGGGTCCGGGCCTCACGAGGGCCTCCCTGCTCGGCGCAGCAGACTGCGGACAGCAGACTCCCGAAGCCCGACAGCCCACCAACGCCGTCCTCCCCACCACAAACCTACCGGCTCACCGCGGCCTGGCTGCCTCCATCTTGCACCGCGCTCGGCCCTCTGGGAAACTGAGTCCTCTGCCGGCCGAGGGCCGCGGCTTCCGCGCCTGAAGAACTACATTTCCCACAAGTCACTGGGCCGCTACTCCCGAGGCCTATCGGGAGTGTGGCCTCTGCGCATTCGCTGTCTTCCCTCCCGGAAACGGCGCTCTCTCGCGAAGAGACCGGAATTGACTAAGGCCAGGAGGGAGGCTGGGAGGCCGAACTACGACTCCCAGGATGCCCGAGGGCTAACGGCCAGCGCCGTATTCCCGGGGCCGCAGCGCCGCTTGCCGGAAACCGCGAGGACCGGAAGTGCATCGACGCGTGCGGCGCTGTTCCCGGGCACTTCCGGTCCTGGCCTAGAGCGGCCGGCCACGCCCTCGTGGGTCCCGGGAGCCGGGCAGCGGGGCGTGCCGACCTCCCGACTGCCCGGGCCCGCCGTGCGGCAGCCCTCCTGGGAGAGGCGCCCTTACCTATTCCTGCCGATGGTCGATGGCCTGGCTGGTTATTTCTGCCCGGAAGCGCAGGGCAGATCCCAGTCTCCCCTGGACGGGCCGCACGCACCTCGGCCCGGAGCCCAGGCGGCCGGCGCCCTTTCCCTGCTGGCGCCTCGCCTGCTGGACGGCCAGAGCGCGCTCCCTCGCCCAGGGCTGCAGCCCTGGAATCCAGGGTTCAGGCCATGCTGCGGCCTAGCCCAGGGACCCAGAGAGGAAACAGGGCCCGTTCTGATCATCCCTAACGCCACCCCCATGCAGGGCCTCACCAGGAACGCGGAGTCCAGGCCACAGAAGGCAGCTAGTTCACACCGCAGCTAGCAGGGGTGACACCCAGGCCTCGGCCAGGATGTTCCCAGGGCTTCGCAGCACAGGGAGAAGTAAAAAGGAGCTGGTTCCTTGGGCCATCCAGTTTTCCCAACCCACCAGCACCCCCCTGGACTGTGGAAGGGCAGGCCCGCTGAGGCCCTGTGACCCCCAATGCAGGGCTGGGGTTAGTTTCCAAAATCAGCCCCCCAAGGAGGCCCCAGGGAGCCCTTGACGTATGAATCCCAGCAAGGGACTTGTCTCAAGAGGTCAAGTTAATGTACGTGCAGGGGGGTACCTGCATGCAGCTAATGGTGACATCACCCAGCATTCCCGCTGGGGGCTGCAGCCTACCCCAAGAGGTGGCTGGGCCTCAGTCCACGGTGGTGGGCCAGGTAGGCTCCCCCAGGTAGTGGCTGAGGCCTTGCCCTCCAGCCCCTGCAAGATGTGGGCACCCAGCCCCATGACGGGACGTCTGCAAGCAGCTAGGTCAGAGAAGAGCCCCTCAGACCTTGGGAGGGAGCAGTGTGTCCATCCTCCTGGGCTGGCCCTCAGGAGGGCGGGGAGTCTTGCAGGGGCCCCACATCCTGTACCACATTCTTGGGCTGCCTGCCTGCCCCGCACAGACCCTGCTGGGCAGTGGTGCACGAGGAATGGGGGTGGAGGCTGCTCCAGGTGGCACAAGGCCCAACAAAGGGGCACTCCCTCCACGGAGTCCTTCTGGGCGCCCACAGACACCCACCAACAGGGTCGGCAGCACAGCCTGGGCCCAGCGAGGTCCAAAGAGCTGAGCACCGCCTGCGCCAGGCTCCTCGGGCTGCCCCTGGGTCTCAGACACCATGGGCACAGGAAGGGGCCGGACATCGTGGTAGCATGCCTGATTTTTCCTTCTTTATTGAATGACTTTCAGGATGTAATTACAATCAAAGGTGACGCGTTAGAAAGGAGAGGTGCGTTGAAGGCATAAGGCTGCTCATGGACCCGGCTCTAGAGACAGGTGGCCGGAAAGGAACAAGGATTAAAAAAGGCTGAGCGTGTGCCACCCGTGGGGACAGGTGGGTAGGAGGGTGCAGCTTGGCCGGACGGCCCTTCGTGGCCCCGAGGAGAGGCCCGGCTGAGCAAGCAGAACCCCCGAGCAGCCCCAAAAGCAGAGGGGGCCCCTGCCCTGCAGTCCCCAAAGCCACTCACATGCCACCTACAGGTGACATCAGCCCCGAAAGCAACAGGGAACTTCAGGACAAGAACAAAACCTCAAAAGTGAAAAGGCTGATAAGTGTAGCAGTGATACCAGGAGGTTATATACACAGGTGGTGACGGCCCCTTCTCAGAAGTGTCCGGGTCGCTCAGCGGCCCTCCCTGCGGCCTCGGCCTCAGTACACCGAGCTGCTCCGGATGCCACAGCAAAGCACCATGCTCAGGATCATCTCGAAGATCTGGGAGAAGGGGGTGGGGGCGGGCAGGTGGGTCAGCGCCCGGAGACCCGTGGGGGGACCCTGGCAGATGCCCGGCCCGCCCCACTCACCATGATCACAGCCACCACGATGGCGGCGATGCCGATGAGGTACAGCTTCCCCGAGAAGAGCTCGTCGATCTTCCCGTGGCAGTCCTCCTGCGGGGGCGGCCAGACGGCGTTCAGAGGTGCCCGTCCTCAGCCCCCGCGAGGCCGTGGCCCAGGGTCATTGCAGCAGGAGCACAGAGGAGCACAGCCCTGCCCCCCAGGACCCCTTGGCAGAGGTGTGAACAGGGCCTAGTCTCTGCCAGCTTTTACCTCACGTCCGTTTTAAACAAACACGGAAATGGCGAGTGTGCGGTGTGCGCCCTCTTGCACTCAAGAGATTGGGAAGCACCACCGCGACGGGGCTGACCCGGGAGGTGAGGGCGCCTCCATGCCAGGTTCAGAGGGCTCCCCCATCGGGAGCCTGGGCCAGAGACTCGCCTCCCCATGGGCCGGCCGGCAGCAAAAATTTGGCCTCGGCCCCCAGGCAGAGCAGCCCCAACTCCAGCCACAGCACTGCCCAGTATGGCCGTGTCCTTGCCCTTGCCAGCAGGAGCCCCGAGAGGGCCAGCCACCGCCCAGGACCCACCAGGGGTGGCAGCCAAATGGGGGAGCAGGCAGGCCCCGCCCCACCCTGGGAGGCCCCACCCATCACCACACACCTTTAGCAAGTTACTGATGACGTTGCCGCTCGAGGGACACAGGCTGTGCTTGAACACAGAGGTAGTCACCGTGGTCAGCGCGTTGGAGCCACAGCAGTTAAGCTGCAGAGATGGAGGGCGCCCGGCGTCAGCCCTGGACGCGTGGCCCACAGGCTACAGAGGCCCCGGGAGCTGCGCCGGCCAGGCGTGGGGGCGGGGAGCGGGGCGGGTCCCCTCCAGGGGGAGAACGGAGCCCAGGGGGCCCACTCCGCCCCTCCTCCCACTTAGCTGTGCTGCGCAGAGACCCCTGCACCCCATCTGCCTTGGCTCATCTAGTTCCCACCAGGGACCCCCAGGTCCCTCAGAATCTCCCCAGGTTCCAATGCCCCTCCCGCTCCTGGCTGAGGTCTCACCGAGAGGACAAAACCCCAGTCCCCGTGGACGCCCTCCCCACCTCCCCCCGGCCCCCCGTACCGTCTCGTGGAAGGTCTTCACCACAGCCTTCGCATTGTTGGCGTCGTCGTCCATTATGGCCTGCTGCAAGGCCTGGTCGTAGAACTGCTTCACGTCCTTGGCGATCTGTGGAGGGAGGCGGTCACAGCACAGCAGGACTGCCCCCCCGAGACGTGCCCTCACCTGGCTCTCCCGGAAGGTATCACTCCCAGGACAGACCTGCCCGCCACTGAGCCCTAGAGAAGGTGACCCTGCCTTCCACTCGGTCGCCATGCTGCCTCTTCCAGAAAGCCCTCTGTGGGCTTCCTACCGGGGAAGAGCCCTCCCAAAGCACCCTGCAGTCCGACCCCTCCCCCGCAGCCCGAGCCCCTTCCCCCTCCCCACCAGCAGCCCCCCTGCCCCTCCCCACGGACGCTGCCTCACCTGGTCCTTGTTGACAAAACCCCAGATGCCAGCGGCCACTTCACAGGCGAAGAGGATCACCAGGCAGGTGAAGAACTGAAAAGGGGAGGGGATGGCGGAGAGGGCAGGTCAGAGCTGGCCAGAGAGGGCCCGGGCCTTCCTGAGGCCCCAGTGACCGGCCGGCATGCGCTGGGTGGCCGGTGGTATCCACCCACCCAGGACCCGACGGGATGAGAGGCGTGGGGCCGAGAAGCAGAATCTAGGACTCGGCCCGGCAGCGAGATGCCAATGTTCTCATCAACCCCGAGGGACCAGGCTCCACAGGATGGGGTGGGTGTGGGAGGGGAGGACATGGTTGCTTCTGGGCGGGTCGGAAAGGGCAGGGAGGCAAAGCCCACGGGAAGGGTGTCACCGTGGTGTGCCTAGGCTCGCCCACCGGAGACACAGGCACAGCCTCCTGCAGCCCACGTCTCCCAGACGCCAGGCCCTGGGCAGCACAGCCAGGCCTCCACGTCCCTTCGGTGGGTGACATGCCTAGGGGCACCTGAGGCTGGCTCTGGGACTGGGACTCATTCCCTGTTATATCTGTGGCTTTTTTTAAGGAAGAAAGAGAAAACGCAACTTTGGAACTCAGTAGGAACTAGACAAAGAACTAGACGTAACGGCAGTCCACCTCGGAGGGATTTGAGACCCGATTGGGGAAACCGGAGAGCTGGCATTCTGGGGGAGGTCCGCAGGGTCAGACTGGCCAGGGCGGGCACAAGGCTCCACGTCGGGGACTGAAGGCGTTCTGTCTCCACCGGAGCTCCCGGTTCTGCCCCCGGTTCTGCCTCCGGCCAGCCCCGCAGCCCTCACCCTCAGCCTGGCCCCGGCCCAGGGCCTTACCGTCCCCAGCAAGCACTGGGACTCCTGGATGGCTCCGTAGCAGCCCAGGAACCCGACAAACATCATCACAGCACCCACGGCAATGAGGATGTAGATGCCTGCAGGGGAGAGACGGCTGCCCTCAGCGCCCTGACACCCCAAAGAGGCAGGACAGATGCCCCCGGAAGCCCTCCTCCCCGGCTGCGTACACACACCCCACTGCCCAGGCCTCTGGAGGGGCCACGAGGCGCTGACGCCCGCCCTGCTGGGAAGACAGCAGATGCCCGGAGGCTTGGAGAGGAGCTGCAAGGGCTTGGCAGCCCGGCGGGGCCGTGTGGGCCCCTCTCCAGGCCTCAGTTTCCTCCTCTGTGACGTGGGTGGAGACCGGCGTTGCCGAGGCCAGGACCGGACGGCCCGTGGTGAGTGTTCAGAGAACTCAGTGCGACGCCACAACCCGGACGCTCTCTGGTTCCCGCAGTCTCGGGATTTGGGGGCATCGTGGAGGACCACCCCCATCTTGGCATAAAGGACCCAGCTACTGGCCCGTGGGGTGGGGTGGAGGTGAGCCCAGGGTTCTGGCGACTCCACTTCACTTGTGCCCTCTCAGACGGGGGCTCGAGTCCGGCTGCTCTGCTCAGAGGAGGGGGCTCTACCCGGCTTCTGAGGCCCTGACCCCGGGGGCTGGAGCCTGCTGGACGCAGAAGCCTGGCGGCTGGGACAGCTCAAGGATGGTACACGGGGTCAGTCTGCCCCCCTGGCCTGCCCAGCACCCACTGCTGGTCATGTGGCCCTTCTCTGCGTCCACAGTTCACCCAGGCGGGGCCCGTGCCCCTTGAAACGCAGACCACGTCTCTCCAAGGACCTCCCACAACCCTAGTCCTACCAGCAGACCTGGGCCCACCCCCCAGTCACCATGGTTACGCGGCGGGCAGGCAGCCCAAGCCCCCTGCACAGTGCTAGGACAATGGGTCCCAGGGCTCCGGTGCCAAGGGCCTGTCGCCCCTGCCTGGCCAGGCTTTGGAGAAGGAGCCTGGGGGCCAGGACCCACTGCTGGGCTCAGAAAACGCCCGGGGCCTCCCCTCTGGACAGACGGAGCCTCCCGCCAGGCATGCCCTCGGGGGCTCCTCACTCGGGCACAGCACCCTTGAGCCAGGTGTCCTCTGCTCAGGTCCTGAGACCCCCATCCCCACATCACTACCTGAGGTTCAGCGAGATGGCATAGGGCGCCAGGGAGGGGCACCTTGGCGTTCCGGGCTCTGGAGGGTCCTGCGAGAGGCTGGGAGACCCAGAGGCGGTACCTGACACCCCCCCCAGGCCCAGCCCCAAGCCCCCCACGGTGCCGGGTTTCCACCTAGAGCCCTCGGCCTGGTTCTGGCCAGTGAGGTCCGGGACCCCCCTGGGCCCTGCAGCATTGCCTGGGGTGCTAAGCCAGCCCAGCTCACCCTCCCCTGCTGCCTGGCACTGGACAGACAGCTCTTGTCAGGGCCCACGTCTGCTCCCCCAGCTCCCTGGCAGGCCCAGTCTGCATCAGAGCCAGCAAGAGGCTCCAGAAGGCCGGCCCTGGGTGGGCAGGAACTCTGTGGCCAGAGGGGCTCTGAGAGGCCCCCGCCCATGGGGACACAGCAGAAGGTCCAGGGCCTGGCACCCAGCCTGCCGGGTGGCCCCGCAGCTAACACTGCTTCCCCAAGGGCAGGATTCTCCAGAGCCAGGAGAAGCCAGGGTCAGGCCCCAGGTGACGTGCGGCCCCCAGTGAGTGGACCGGGGGGACATCTGCTCCAACACCAGCCTTGCCCTCGACGAGCCTCTCCCGTGGGACCCCTTCCCCGCCAGAGCCTGAGCACAGCCCCGCCGCCTCCATTCTCCCGCCAACGTCCCCCCAGACGTCTGCGCGCCGGC